GGGGCGGGGGGTGCGCGGCCGAGCGGCGCGGCGGGGGGGAATGGCTGCAGGGACCTGGATGACGTCAGCCGACAGAGCCAGGCTCTCGCCGAGGCTCTTGCTGGTGGTGGCCTCGTGGCCCGGGCGCGCGCGCGCTGGTCCATGCGGGAGCCTATGCCCGTGGCCCATGGCGGGACGGGGTGGCAGCCCATGGCAGCCCACGGCAGCCCACGGCAGCCCACGGCAGCCCACGACCGGGCCGGCCGGGGCAGGGGGCCCCATGTTGTGCGCATTGCCGGGCCGTGGCGAGCCGGCGAGCCGCCCCATTCTCCGCGCCGTGTCGCTCGGCTCGACTCGGCTCCGCTCGGCTGGAGCTCGGTTTTGCCTCGGTCCCGGTGAACCGGGACTCGGCTCACTCGGCTCCAGCTGCGCGACCCGACGGGAGAGGCGAGGGGAGCGTTGGTACGGGCTCGGCCTGGGGGTGGGTGGTCCGGGGGCGGTCCGGGGGTGGTCCGGGGGCGGCGGCTGGGGGCGGCATGGGCCGGGGGCAGGGGACGGCCCCGCGCACTGTACCCGCGCAGCCTCAGCAGCAGCAGCAGACGCCGATCTGAGCCGAGCCGAGCCGAGCCCTGGCGAACCGAGCCGAGCCGGGCCGGGACATGGGGGAGAGCCTAGGGGAGCCCGGGGGAGAGGGAGCACGGCGGAGCACTCAGTGTGATGCGTGCGGCTGAGCTCTGCGCGTAGCCAGGCGCAGCGTAAGCTCCCGAGGGCGCACCACAGCACGGCTCGCCGAAACACCGCGTCACGGCGGGACCAGTGTGTGTGTGCGCGCGTGTGTGTGTGAGTGGGCGACTGTGTCGGTGTGCGCGCGTGTGGGCGAGTGCGCGAGCGCGCGCGGGCCGTGCCTGTGTCGGAGAGCACGCCGGGCACGCCGAGCACGCCGAGCACCGCTGGCCGGCGGCGCGTGTCCGTGTCACCGAGTGCCCGTGACCACCGGCGGAACACCGATCGCAACGCCTTATGGATCGCGCTCGCCGTCCGTGCTGTGCCGGCTGCGGCGGCTGCGGCGGCTGTGCCGGCTAGGAGGACAAGGACTCCATCGAGCCGGTGTGGTGACCGGAGGGCCCAGCGGCGAGCGGAGCCAGGGGAGCGTCCTGGCCGGCGTCTCCAGGTGGGTGTCACGACTGCCTCCACCCCGACCCCCCGGGACCCGGGCGGCACGTGCACGCGGGGGACGGCGGGGCCCACGGCGCATCCCCAGGGGACGGACGAGGTGCCAGCCGGGCCCAGAGCTGAGGCGCCGTCGGAGGCTGGAAGTAGGCCGGGCTGGGGGCCGGGGGCCCAGGAGTGAGGAGGG